CACTCTTTTTTTTTTGCGTTCAAACGACGGGTTTAAGGAGCAGACGCTTGACCTCCATGAACATGTGAGTACACACACACACACACACACACACACACACACACACACACACACACACACACACACACACACACACACACACACACACACACACACACACACACACACACACACACACACACACACACACACACACACACACACACTACAGTCACTGTATAAACAATGCCCTATGAACACTCTTCAAAACACCAATACATAAACACAACACTCAGCGCCCCCTGGCTGGTCTGACCTGAGCTAATGAATTGGTGTTAATCACCTCCATGACACAAGGTCAATACCAGCAAGACTAAGGTGGAATCCAATTAAACCAAGAGTAGTGAATGATCTCATCTGATAAGGGGCACCATTCAGTAAACACACTAAACCATTAAATTATAATTCAGAGGTCACCAGGAGGTCAAGGAGTTCAATTAGTAAAGGTTAAAAAGGCTTAACCCTATATGCTAGTTTCAACCGTGATCAATTTCCAACATGAGCGTGCAATTATCTCATTGTCGAGTCAAATCATTTCTTAATGTTTATTCTATTTTCTGGTAGAGTAATTAATGGATCGAACGGTCAGAAACAACATGGTACTTCAACACATTGTAACTACACCTGTGTGAGAGTGTGTGCGTGCGTGAGTGTGCGTGTGTGTGTGTGTGTGTGTGTGTGTGTGTGTGTGTGTGTGTGTGTGTGTGTGTGTGTGTGTGTGTGTGTGTGTGTATGTGTGTGTGTGTGTACTCACCTAGTTGTGCTTGCGGGGGTTGAACTTTGGTTCCTTGGTCCCGCCTCTCAACCGTCTATCAACTGATGTACAGATTCTTGAGGCTACTGGGCTCTATCTATCTCGTGTGGGTGTGTAGGGGCGGGCTTCTCTCATATCTCACTCTCTGAGAGTAATTCCTCTTTGATCTCATATTATTAAAATCTTTATTGACAAAATTTATATAAAAAATGTTCTAATTGGAGTAATTCAGTTAAGTAAAATTCTGTTATTACGTGCTAAATATAGCCTCATACAGATGTTTTAGGCTTGCACTAATTTCCTTGATTAGTTTTAATTTCGCATATGTGAAGAAATATTTTTGGGTGTGTATCTGTTACATAGCTCTCTGTTCCAACTTCATTTGTTCAGTCAGGTACGATTGCTGCAACTTCTGATTTACTGCATTTCTTTAATGACTGATTAAATAATGTTTTCTTTGTTGGGGTTGTCGTGTCGGCTTGAGCATTTCCGTTATTGTTTCATTCTTGTATAGAATGAGAAGAATGAATGTGGTGTCTCCGGCCTCTTTGTAAAATTGTCCTCTTTCATTTTAGAACATGTAAATGGAATGTTTCAGGCAGACTTTGTACACTTCAGCCTTCAATTGTTCTATTCCTTGTGTGGGAGTTTTATTACTTAAAGACGGTTTCCCATTGAATGTTTACAAGTTCCATCTGTATATTTCCCAGTCAATCCTTGTATTATTAAAACTGAATGTGTTGAAAAACTCCTCACGCTTGATAATTTTTTGGACATGTTTCGAGTATTGATGTTAGTTTGCACTTCACTAAGCTTTTGATCTGAGTGTGTGTTATCTGACGTGTGTCCATGATTATTTCATTGTGAAGATCAGCTCTGGAATATTTTTTTGTGTCAGTATGAATGTCTGTATCGATAAAGCTGTTTGAGGTGTGTGTAACACTGTCTTGAGGTGTGTGTTACACTGTCCCGTCATCACAGATTCAGAGATTTCCCCTTCCTGAACTTGTATTTCTAGCCTGGTTACCCGTCACTCTTGTGAACCTCTTCAACTCCTGTGTCAGTGTTATGATTCCCCTCACTCTGCCTGGGGTAGCTGGTAGACTTCCCCTCACTCTGCCTGGGGTAGCTGGTAGACTTCCCCTCACTCTGCCTGGGGTAGCTGGTAGACTTCCCCTCACTCTGCCTGGGGTAGCTGGTAGACTTCCCCTCACTCTGCCTGGGGTAGCTGGTAGACTTCCCCTCACTCTGCCTGGGGTAGCTGGTAGACTTCCCCTCACTCTGCCTGGGGTAGCTGGTAGACTTCCCCTCACTCTGCCTGGGGTAGCTGGTAGACTTCCCCTCACTCTGCCTGGGGTAGCTGGTAGACTTCCCCTCACTCTGCCTGGGGTAGCTGGTAGACTTCCCCTCACTCTGCCTGGGGTAGCTGGTAGACTTCCCCTCACTCTGCCTGGGGTAGCTGGTAGACTTTGCATAAACATCATTATTTGGCCATGAGGCAGGTTGTCCAGGAATTGTTTAAATATGTTTTAAGATGGCACATCATTTTTACACGCTCGGAGAAAGTGGCCGCCTGGCAGGCCTTAAGTAGTATTCACATCTGGACAAGAAACGTGAGATCTATTTTTACCTGTACAACAGCTAATATCTGTTGTTTGTTTATGGTGTTTGTTGCAGTGACTACAATTAGGCGTCTTTACGGCCATACCCTGGAAACACAAACCGAAACTGTCTCTATTTTCCGCTTGTTACAACTTGTAATAAAGTTGTTACATCTTGGCTTAACGTGTTTATGACGTATTAGAACGTTGATACAACTTGCTATATTGGTTGTTATAACTGGTTAGGAGGTGTTAAAACTTGTTCGAACGTTGTACCAACGTCGTAGTTTCGGTGTGTGTTTGGCGGGTATGAGTCACGTCTGCATCACTGTAAATATTTTAATTTACAAATGTGAAAATGAAACATTCTATTTTTCACTGTCACGCAGCACAGGGATGGATTTATAAGAGATGCAGATAAAGAATATTAATATGGAAAAACAAACTGTATGAAAGTTTACTATGAAAAACTAACTCAATGAAATAGTTACAAAGTTGATTGTACAATAGACCAGGAGCTCTAAAATAGTTTACAATTACCCAATGAATACCGTAGTGTTGAGGTGAGTGTTTTAAGGGTTGGTCAGTGTGTGTACAAGGTGAATATTCTGGTAGTGAGTCAGCCTCACTACCGTGCCAGAGGCGCCTATAGCCAAGGTGAACTCTGGCGACCACTACGTCACTTTGTCTGCTGCGATCACTGTGCTCACCGTACTGGGACCCGGTGTGACAGCAACCCGTCCTCTTAAAAATAACGTCACTTTTGGCTGGTATGCGCCCTATGGCCAAATTTGGACGTAATTTGAAATGAAATCGACTCACAAAAGTGACGTACTGTTCCGTTTTCTGTTTGAGTTGTCCGGCTTACTCAGCAAGGTTAGAAAAAAGAAACTTTCCATTAACGTTTTTCATACCGTTTTGAAACTTTATGAGAATTTCCTGCCCACCTAACCTATCAGAGGACCCTTAGCTTACTGTTGTTGAAAAAAAAAATCCCAAATTTATTTTCATTTTTTTTTCATTTTTCAAATTACGTCCATATTCGGCCATACGGGTAAACGGCCAAAAGCGACGTTCTTTTTAAGAGGACAGGCTCTGTAACAGCTTGTCGTGCCTTGTATACTGCAGCTTACAGGTTTTGGGGCATTTCTTAAGTCTTCTAAATCTGAAGTTTTAATTTTAATTCGTATGATTTTAATAATTGGGTTATATTGGTAGTGGGTAGTGTTGCCTGATGTCTGCTGGTGTTGTGGGTCAGTGTGTGGTGTTGCCTGATGTCTGCTGGTGTTGTGGGTCATAGATTCCTGGGTGAATCGATTCACAGAATGACGGAATTGAAGCCAGACGCAGGTTCGATTCCGTCGACCGCCTCCAAATATTTTCTCATGGGTATAGCACACTTTTGTGATTTCATTGTGTGTGTGGGTAAACGATTGACCGAACAAGTAATAAGTGACATATTTAGTCTATATATGTGCAGACAGAACGAATTGTTTTTATTTACTGAGATGATAATTGTTTCTTGTTGACCAAACCACACACTAGAAAGTGAAGGGACGATGACGTTTCGGTCCGTCCTGGACCACAATCGACTTGAGAATGGTCCAGGACGGACCGAAACGTCGTCGTCCCTTCACTTTCTAGTGTGTGGTTTGGTCAACATATCTCAGCCACGTTATTGTGACTCCTCGTCTGCATAATTGTTTCTTATATAGACGCAGGTCACAAGTAATTGATCTGTCCTTAGGGGGAGGATGTTAGGTTATTGTTTGGTCGTAAAGGGAACTTATAAGTATGTTTTCCAACAAGGCAAGCTGGAACTTGTTTAATCAGGAGTATATAGTGAATATGTTACCTATTGCCAAAGCAATAATTGAACCATATAGGTTAAGACATTGATTGTTAGCGTTTTGTAAATATAGCAGGTTGGCAATTTATTCATTTACACACAAAAATCACATTAACGTTGTATCAGTGTAATAAGGTATCAGTGTGTAAAATTCTTGCTCGAGTACCCAGACCACAGGTTCGAATCCTCCTCCCGGCTCCCGTTTTTCACAATTTATTCATACATAGTGATTGTATTGCGATTAGGTTGGAATGTATTGACCTTTTTACTGTCTGTTGGGGGTAAGTAGGGACTTGTGTTCATGGGGCAGACAGGCTTCTTGAGGTTATCTTGAGATGATTTCGGGGCTTTAGTGTCCCCGCGGCCCGGTCCTCGACCAGGCCTCCACCCCCAGGAAGCAGCCCGTGACAGCTGACTAACACCCAGGTACCTATTTTACTGCTAGGTAACAGGGGCATAGGGTGAAAGAAACTCTGCTCATTGTTTCTCGCCGGCGCCTGGGATCGAACCCAGGACCACAGGATCACAAGTCTAGCGTTCTGTCCGCTCGGCGCCCTGTCCATATGGCTTGTCCATATTGCTGGATTGTAAATTATTATTTTGGCATGAGCATCATCTTTTAAATACTTGGTCTAAGGGGATCTTGTGATTGTTGTATTTGCAGGGGGAACTTGTATTTTTTGTTAGATATAACTTGCAAATCTGCAAATAATTTTCAGAGATTACTCAACAAATTTAGGTTACTAAAACTCATCAACAATATCCAATAAAATTTTATTGTCTTTTCAAGATGTTTCCAACAAGGCGTGCTTTATCTTGCTTGAAAATACCAGAGGAAAAAATATACATTATCTATATCCAAAAGTTGATCTGTAAAATTTACTTTGTACGGATATCATTTATCAGTAATATGGCAAAGATAGACATGAGGAAAGGAGGGGGGGGAGGGGGGGGGGGGATTGACTCCCCTAGTAATGGTATTTCCGAAATATCACAGCCTATGAATGATGGCCTGCCAGTGGTCGGTGTTCAGTGATGGCTGTTCCGCCGTTGGTAGAGTTCTCCCGTTTCAATGAAAGTAGTTTCACTTCACTAACGGATATTTTCTGTTAAAAACAAGATTACTTTTTTCACCTTGGGCGTGTTTTTGTGACCTCACATCACCGGGTTTTATCGTCACATCACCGGGTTTTATCGTCACATCACCGGGTTTTATCGTCACATCACCGGATTTTGTCCTCGTGCCACTCACCTCGGCCATCGCCTTAACTGATCACTAATAAATGTAAGTCACTTATTGCCACCTCCGACATTTTCTCGTACTTTCCCGCATTTTTGTCTCTCCCGGGGACAGGATTTGTGTCCGGCACTGAGCACTGGCAGACAGGTCGGCACTGAGCACTGGCAGACAGGTCGGCACTGAGCACTGGCAGACAAGTCGGCACTGAGCACTGGCAGACAGGTCGGCACTGAGCACTGGCAGACAGGTCGGCACTGAGCACTGGCAGACAGGTCGGCACTGAGCACTGGCAGACAGGTCGGCACTGAGCACTGGCAGACAGGTGCAGAACCATTACAAAATGCGGCATTGAGAAGGAAACATCAATAAATACTTACATATATACATTGCACAATTGCACAACACTGAATACAAATGTACAAAAATATCACAGCTCTCTACATCAATATCAGGTATTGTATAAGTGACGGCTTGGTCATGTACAGCAGCGCAGCAGGCTAAGTGTAGTACAGTTTAGGGGGGTAAGGGATCAGGAGACATCACTATACAGCCTTAGAAAGGGATATGAGGACAAAGGCCTGGGAGAAGACGGAGGAAAGGAACAGTGCCCAACCACTTGGGACATATTGGGGTTGAACGCCGACCCTGCCAGAAGCGAGACCGTCGCCCTACAGACCAGTCCAAGTGTTGCATACAAGCTTAAGAATACAAGCTCAGCAGATGCAATTACGTTTTGAAACAAAAAGTATTTACTACCTTTGAATAAACCACTGATACGTCACAGTTGGAGATGACGTGGCAACCACGTCACATTCAAATGATGACTTGGCACATCGATTCGTCAGCAAGTCTCGTGACATCATAACGAAGTGACGTGATGCTGTCCTCGGCAGAGAGGACCAAAAATGGAGTTTTCACATACAAAACATTCATATTGAAACCAAGTTAGAAATCAGTACAAAACGTAAAATAGAGATCATGGCCTTCCGCTGCGCTGCATCATATATGACCTAAATCTATACATTATAAACACCAGAATCAGTTTTTTTATATTTTTTCTATACACAAGCGCTCTTTTAGGCTGTGGAAAAGGCGCCAGGGGGATATGGAGAGTCGGGGGAGGGGGGGGGGGGACACCACGTAGCGATCGCTGCTAGAAAACGTGTAAAAATATACACACTGTATGTATATATATTTGCCAGTAATTCACCAATGAGTCACTAAGGCATTTTGGGTGAATATGTTTTTATTCATCGGGTAAAAAGCGCCACGAGCAGCGCCACCACTTTCAGTAGCGGACGTCATGGGAACTACATTTCACAGCCTCTATGGAGCTCACGGACCATCAATTAAGGCCAAGGCCATAGGCCCCAGAAAGGCCACGTCAAAACATTAATTTAAAAAAATAGTTTTAAGTGTTCACTGTCATGTTTTTAATTTAATGGCACTCTGTAATGCACTGGACAAATGGGTAAGGCAACATTGCGCATGGCGACATCATTTTGTCACTGGGCTGTGCATGACATCAATTGAGTGTCGCATCATTTGGCTACATATGACGTCGTGGAGCCGAGTCGTCAATGCATCAGTGGGCTTTGCCAGGAAGGTGCGTCGTGAGCAGGTCACCTGTGGACGGGTCGTTGAGGAAGGTTGTCACCGCGGTAACAATGGAACCTGCCTGTCAACACGGCATTCGGCACTGTCATGACCCTGCTGACACTGTCGTGGCCCGACTATGGCACAGTTACGATTCAATCATAACTGCCACGGCCCGGCAGTGACACACTCAGTGCCGGGCTTGAAGTCTACACCAGCTGCAGGAAGGCGAGAGATGAGGCGCTATACGACCATCTCGCTGGTGACGAGGTCGTGGTCGTTGGCTCTCGGGGAGATGGCCTTCAGGTTTATTTCCTTCTGGAGGCTCTTGCAGGCGGGGTCGTGCGGGGTCATGTTCCGCTCCACGTCAGCATTCTGCACCTTCCGGATTGCCACCGGCAGGCCGTGTGTCGGGGACTCGCAGTCACTTATGTCCGTGTCGGGCGTGGCCAGGGCGGCCTTGGGCACGTGAATTAACCCGACGGTGGACCCCAGGGGAGCCACCCTGGGGTCCCCGAGGCCCTGGGGGTTCATCCTGGAGCAGGAGGGTTCTGCGTCATCCACTGACCCCCCGCTGAGGGTGGCGGTCTTGAGAGGGTTGTGGTAGCGCCACAACTTCTCCTCGTTCTCGTTGTTGGACTTCTCGGCGTGAGCGTCCTCGGCCAGCTTGTGTCTGGAGGAGTGGGAGGGGAAGGCGGTGCGGTGGTGGGCCTGCAGGTGGCGCCGCCGACACTGCCAGTACCCGAGGCCGGCCACCGCCAGCACCACCACCACCACCAGCACCACCGTCACGGCTGCCAGCACCCCGCTTGCCACACCTGCCACACACACACAAGGACACGTGTTAGTTCTTGGTCACATCTTATGGTATATTTCCCCACCAGTGAGCCAGACCCCGCCCCCTTCCCCACTAGTGAGGCAGACCCCGCCCCCTTCCCCACCAGTGAGGCAGACCCCGCCCCCCCTTCCCCACCAGTGAGGCAGACCCCGCCCCCTTCCCCACCAGTGAGGCAGACCCCGCCCCCTTCCCACCAGTGAGCCAGACCCCGCCCCCTTCCCCACCAGTGAGCCAGACCCCGCCCCCTTCCCCACCAGTGAGGCAGACCCCGCCCCCTTCCCCACCAGTGAGCCAGACCCCGCCCCTTCCCCATTAGTGAGGCAGACCCCGCCCCCTTCCCCACCAGTGAGGCAGACCCCGCCCCCACCAGTGAGGCAGACCCCGCCCCCTTCCCCACCAGTGAGGCAGACCCCGCCCCCTTCCCCACCTGTGAGGCAGACCCCGCCCCCCTCCCCACCAGTGAGGCAGACCCCGCCCCCTTCCCCACCAGTGAGGCAGACCCCGCCCCCTTCCCCACCAGTGAGGCAGACCCCGCCCCCTTCCCCACCTGTGAGGCAGACCCCGCCCCCCTCCCCACCAGTGAGGCAGACCCCGCCCCCTTCCCCACCTGTGAGGCAGACCCCGCCCCCTTCCCCACCAGTGAGCCAGACCCCGCCCCCTTCCTCACCTGTGAGGCAGACCCCGCCCCCCTCCCCACCAGTGAGGCAGACCCCGCCCCCTTCCCCACCAGTTAGCCAGACCCCGCCCCCTTCCCCACCAGTGAGCCAGACCCCGCCCCTTCCCCATTAGTGAGGCAGACCCCGCCCCCGCCCCCACCAGTGAGGCAGACCCCGCCCCCTTCCCCACCAGTGAGGCAGACCCCGCCCCCTTCCCCACCAGTGAGCCAGACCCCGCCCCCTTCCCCACCAGTTAGCCAGACCCCGCCCCCTTCCCCACCAGTGAGGCAGACCCCGCCCCCTTCCCCACCAGTGAGGCAGACCCCGCCCCCTTCCCCACCAGTTAGCCAGACCCCGCCCCCTTCCCCACCAGTTAGCCAGACCCCGCCCCCTTCCCCACCAGTTAGCCAGACCCCCCGCCCCCTTCCCCACCAGTTAGCCAGACCCCGCCCCCTTCCCCACCAGTGAGGCAGACCCCGCCCCCTTCCCCACCAGTGAGGCAGACCCCGCCCCCTTCCCCACCAGTGAGGCAGACCCCGCCCCCTTCCCCACCAGTGAGGCAGACACCGCCCCCTTCCCCACCAGTTAGCCAGACCCCGCCCCCTTCCCCACCAGTGAGGCAGACCCCACCCCCTTCCCCACCAGTTAGCCAGACCCCGCCCCCTTCCCCACCAGTTAGCCAGACCCCGCCCCCTTCCCCACCAGTTAGCCAGACCCCGCCCCCTTCCCCACCAGTTAGCCAGACCCCGCCCCCTTCCCCACCAGTGAGGCAGACCCCGCCCCCTTCCCCACCAGTGAGGCAGACCCCGCCCCCTTCCCCACCAGTGAGGCAGACCCCGCCCCCTTCCCCACCAGTGAGGCAGACACCGCCCCCTTCCTCACCAGTTAGCCAGACCCCGTCCCCTTCCCCACCAGTTAGCCAGACCCCGCCCCCTTCCCCACCAGTTAGCCAGACCACGCCCCCTTCCCCACCAGTTAGCCAGACCCCGCCCCCTTCCCCACCAGTGAGGCAGACCCCGCCCCCTTCCCCACCAGTGAGGCAGACCCCGCCCCCTTCCCCACCAGTGAGCCAGACCCCGCCCCCTTCCCCACCAGTGAGGCAGACCCCCCCCCCCATCCCCACCAGTGAGCCAGACCCCGCCCTTCCCATTAGTGAGGCAGACCCCGCCCCCTTCCCCACCAGTGAGGCAGACCCCGCCCCTTCCCCACCAGTGAGGCAGACCCCGCCCCCCTTCCCCACCAGTGAGGCAGACCCCGCCCCCACCAGTGAGGCAGACCCCGCCCCCTTCCCCACCAGTGAGGCAGACCCCGCCCCCTTCCCCACCAGTGAGGCAGACCCCGCCCCCTTCCCCACCAGTGAGGCAGACCCCGCCCCCACCAGTGAGGCAGACCCCGCCCCCTTCCCCACCAGTGAGGCAGACCCCGCCCCCTTCCCCACCAGTGAGGCAGACCCCGCCCCCTTCCCCACCAGTTAGCCAGACCCCGCCCCCTTCCCCACCAGTGAGGCAGACCCCGCCCCCTTCCCCACCAGTGAGGCAGACCCCGCCCCCTTCCCCACCAGTGAGGCAGACCCCGCCCCCTTCCCCACCAGTGAGGCAGACCCCGCCCCCTTCCCCACCAGTGAGCCAGACCCCGCCCCCTTCCCCAGCAGTGAGGCAGACCATCCCCCAGCCCCACTACTCCCCACCTTCCTCAAAACCACCAATGAGCCAGAGTTCCGGCTCACTGCTGTGGATTTTGCAATACTACTTCTCTGACTCTCCGTGGGAAGGGAGGTGGAATTAGGGTTCTCCTGACTGGCTAGTACTGGTGATGGCAGGACTACCTGGTAGCCCCCAACTCACCAGGCTCGCCGCTGACCACTGTAGTTTCGACCTTGACCTCAATGGCGGCGCCGAGGGCAGTGACGGGGGTGAGTTTCCTGCTGACCAGCTCCCCGAGGGTCTTGGCCGCCACCGTCACGTCTCCCTTGGGGCCGTCCTCCGCGTACGACTGTTCCAAGATAAAGCATCATTCAGGTAACATCATCCCGCCAGGATACATATATCCTACCGTGTTCCTCACTCATTCCCACCTGTCTTATCCTGTCAACCATCAGTAATGCAGGTATACCTGAGTATTTTATATAGATATTGATAATCAGCTTTTATGTATAGTTGCCAAGTGTTGCAATGATTACTTACCAGAGTAACTTCAATGGTATCGTTGCTGGTAGTAACGAGGGCGCAGAGAATGATGGGCGCGGGGGTGGCGGTGTGGGCGTGGCGGTCAGCCCAAGCCGCCCGCAGACCCTGACAAACAGTCTGGACGCGGGCACCAGCGGGCAGCCTGGTGCGGTTGAGCACGAGAGTGAGTCTGGCGCAGGCGTTGTTGAGGGTGGCATGGTTGGGCGTGCAGGCTCGAGGGCCGGGGTTCACGCGGGGTGCCACCTGCTGGCCCTCATCGCTCAGCATGCGGCACTCACCCCAGGGCTCGCACGGCGGGGCCAGGCACCACTGCAGTGGCCCTGGCACGCACACCTGAACACACAAACACCATGCAGTACACAATAATGAAAGACATTCTGTATAACATTCCTACAAGATTCCTGTCTATATGTAATTACAATTTACTGCATCTGACTTGATACTAGAACTAGTGGTGGAAGCCGGAGATACGATACCTGGTAGGGCTCGCAGGGGTAGTGGTTGGGGCCACGGGACCGGAGGCAGTTCTCGGGACCACACCAGACGTCGGAGCAGGAGGCAGTGCCATGGCTGCAGTGGCATGAGTTGCACTGATGCCTCCAGACGGCACCGTGGGGCCGGAGGTCACCGCCCCACAGGCATGCTTGTGACGGCTGCTCGACACTGTTGTTACCTTCCACGTGCTCACAGCGATGACCTGTGCGTCCAGGGGGGCACACACACCGGTAGTCAGCGATGCCGTCCACACAGGTGCTGCCGAAGGCGCATGGGGAGGAAGCGCACTCGTTGATATTGACTCTGCAGTCTGGGCCGGTGAAGCCTGGCGTGCACTCACACACTCGCCAGTTGACTCCGTCGACGCAGCGGCCGCCATTGTAGCAGGGATGTGGAGTACAGTCATTAATGTTATTGTGGCAGGCGGCGCCGTCCCACCCGTCTGGACACAGGCAGGTGAACCCGTCGCCCGTGTTGACGCACGTCGCACCGTTCTGGCACGGCGAGGAGTCGCACGCCCGACGCTCACCTAACACACGAAAAAAAAAACATAAATGAAACAAACAAAAAATGAGATGCCAAGAGACGAGAACAAGTTATATAACTAAGAAAACAGTAAAAGACCAAGTGATTAGGCTAAACAAATGAGAATAGTCACTCGGAAGGCAACAAGAAACTAGGAACTGGACAAGGGGGCTGGAGACAGACTGGAGTCCCCAAACAGACGGGGGACCGGCTGACATTTCATTCAGGAATACCTGTGTCGTCTATTCAGGTAGGAACAGACGACACAGGTACCCGATAGCTAGGAGGCGGGTACCAAGAACTAGATCTCATATTCCGTAAACACAGGTAAGTACAGAGTATAACACAAGTGGTGTGACGGTACTCACGGATCTGGCAGGTGCTTCCCTTCCACTCATCGGGGCAGCGGCACACAAAGGCGTTCCCGAGGTCGACGCACGTGCCGCCGTGCTGACACGTGCTGGGGTCGCAGTGGGACGTGGTAGAGGAACACGTGCGGCCCTTCCATCCATTCTGGCAGGCACAGGTGAAATCGCTGACGCCATCAACACAGGTAGCGTTGTTGCGGCAAGGCTGGTCGGCACACTCGTCCACATCTGAGGCAAACATGCACCATTTGTGAACTTTCCTTGGGTGAGAGGCATATTACCCTAGGGTAGGTAAGCGGGTATTACCTGTGGACGACTTCGAGAGTTTTACTGCTCCCACAACCTGCCATGGTGCTAAGTTAGTAGGGAGGGAGATGACCCGGAAGCGGGACCAGACTTGCATCAGACACAACTGGAAGATATAGCACTACTAACGGGTGGATATAAGCAGCTGGGGCTTGGAAGGCGCGTATGACAGACTTACGCTACAGACAGGTGGACGCTAAGGACACGCGGAGAAGAACAAGTTGAGCTGAAAGGACTACTGGAACAGTGGGTGAAAGTTGCGAGGACCTGGATGGTGGCCACAACTAGGATGGTTATTATTAGTAGGAAGGTGAGCGGGAAGGTTGGTATAGGAGCGGGCGGCGGGCCTCAGACGCCCGCGCTGATCACATTAATCGTCTGTCTGCCCACCAACAACAACAGCACCGCCATTGTTACACAAATAAAAAAAAAACTGGATGGTGCATACTAATGGCAGGACGGCCGCGGGCGGCCTGGCTGCCAAACCCTCATTAACACTGCCGCAACTTGTGCCTTTTTAAGCTGCCACAGCTTGACTCCCCCTTTACTATCCCGGCTTGTTTACCCCTTAATCCCGTGACCTTGATGTCACAAGCTGTCTCCCTCACTCACCTGCAGCTGTGTTACCCACTACGGGATCACCATAGTTCGTGCTCCTGGCCACTTTTTGTTCCGAGTAGCGCACTCTAAAACATGTGTTACCCCACGCACCCATCACCCCCACACGTCCATCACCCCCACACGTCCATCACCCCACGCTCTCCCCATCATACCACCCCCACCCCATCGCACCAGCCCAAACTCAGCGCCCCTTCTGCCGTAACTTCCCCTCAGTTTCCCATTACCATATCTTACTACATTTACCTTACAAAAGACTTCCAAAACCTGGTGAGTTTTCTCTGTAGAATTGGAGCTTCCCTTTACCATCCCCCTGTCTTCCACTTCCCCCCTCTCCTTCCTCCACTTCCCCCCTCTCCTTCCTCCACTTCCCCCCTCTCCTTCCTCCACTTCCCCCCTCTCCTTCCTCCACTTCCCCCCTCTCCTTCCTCCACTTCCCCCCTCTCCTTCCTCCACTTCCCCCCTCTCCTTCCTCCACTTCCCCCCTCTCCTTCCTCCACTTCCCCCTCGCCTTCCTCCCTCCTTCCTCCACTTCCCCCCTCTCCTTCCTCCTCTCCCCCCCCCCCCCTCCTCCACTTACTACAATACCGTAGTGTTTAAGGTGAACAAAAGAGTTATACACTTACACAAGTATTGGGTCTTTTATTCGCCAATAATGAAAATGCCAATAACACCCAACCAGCTTAGATGTTGAGGTCATCTATAGAGGTCATCGGTAGAGGTCAACAGCGGTGGACAATTGTGGGGGTCAACGGTAAAGGTTAAAGAGGTTCAAGCTACACATTAGAGAAGGAGCGACAGAGGGGAGAGAGGGAGGGAGGGGGGGGGAGGGGAGTGACTTACCTAGGTTACAGAGGGGACCCTTCCAGCCCGGGTCACACACACACTGGAAGCCGTTCACCAGGTCGACACACGTGCCCCCGTTCATGCACGGCGACGACTCGCAGTCATTAACATCTGAGGGGACAAAGAGAACGGGTTCTTCAGCAGCTCTTGACGGGCCGGGGCGCGGGCCGGGCGACAAGTGCGGCTCACACCACAGTTACTACAGTAGCCTCCAGTGCACCTCCAGTGCACCTCCAGTGCACACATTTTACACGTAAACTGGATTTGTTAAAATAAAAAAATGCCCCAGGTGTAAACTGACTCTTGTAAACACCTGCACATAACTGAGATTCTAAGACAGTCACAAATCACGAGTGTACAGCTGTTTATGCTGCACATTAAAGTCCTTTAAAACAACTGCGTTCATTCATATATACTTTAGTTTAAATACAGGTGGTATACTAGTAACAGGTGTGTTTGTACTCTACTAGTTCCGCTAGCGGGGATCGAGCTTCAGCTCTTCAGTACCGCCTCAAAACCATATAGTGATTCAAGTTAACTGGGCTTCGTCATACTGTTGCACGTGTATGTAACCACCTTCACCACTGTACCTTGAAATTGATCCCATTTCTTGAATACTTTGACACTTGTAAAATGCGAACAAAACAAACAGCAAAAAAATTAATCTGTGCCTTAGACCTGAATCAGAGTCTACTGCAGCGGGGGAGTAGATACTCCCCCGCGGCAGTAGATAGTAGGGGAGTAGAGTGAGGGGTAGATACTCACTAATATGGCAGTACTGTCCTGTGAAGCCGGGGTCACAGACGCAGGAGAAGGCGGCCTCGGCGTGGCTGACACAGCGGCCGCTTCTCCCACAGATGTTGGAAGGGACCAGCAACACCGACCCGGACTCCTGGGCCTCTGGCACCGTGCAGCTGTCCACCACTGTGAGGGGCGGGAGAGGGCCAGAGAGGGGTGGGTGAGGGCTGGTGAGGGCTGGCGGGGTCAGGTACACCCAGGTCAACATGTACACATAGGGGGAGACGCGGGCTGGCACCTTGTACGTCACTAGGGCCGGGTTAGTGCAGGTGTACACAGGTGGAGGGAAGTGCAGGTGTACACAGGTGGAGGGAAGTACAGGTGTACACAGGTGGAGGGAAGTGCAGGTGTACACAGGTGGAGGGAAGTGCAGGTGTACACAGGTGGAGGGAAGTACAGGTGTACACAGGTGGAGGGAAGTGCAGGTGTACACAGGTGGAGGGAAGTACAGGTGTACACAGGTGGAGGGAAGTGCAGGTGTACACAGGTGGAGGGAAGTGCAGGTGTACACAGGTGGAGGGAAGTGCAGGTGTACACAGGTGGAGGGAAGTACAGGTGTATACAGGTGGAGGGAAGTACAGGTGTATACAGGTGGAGGTGGTACAGGTGTAAACAAAGGGGTGGAGGTAAACAAAGGGGTGGAGGTAAACAAAGGGGTGGAGGTAAACAAAGGGGTGGATGTAAACAAAGGGGTGGAGGTAAACAGGGGTGGATGTAAACAAAGGGGTGGATGTAAACAAAGGGATGGAGGTAAACAAAGGGATGGAGGTAAACAAAGGGATGGAGGTAAACAAAGGGGTGGAGGTAAACAAAGGGATGGAGGTAAACAAAGGGGTGGATGTAAACAAAGGGGTGGAGGTAAACAAAGGGGTGGATGTAAACAAAGGGGTGGAGGTAGAACAGTAAACAAGAAAAACGCGACCACGTAAGGACAGCAATAAATATCTTGTATGAACCAATCACACTTATGTATAATATAAGGCAAAAGACACTACTCACTACTAGTATTCACAATGAAAATAATATTCGATTCATCACTGAAGGTGAGAAATTGTTTCATATATGCAGCCTACTAATACACACCACCGCACCCACCAGCGCCAAAGGTCATGGTCACTACACTGACCTTAAAGGTGGTAAATTGGGTTCTTTGTGTTTGGAAACTTGGTTTTTTTTTCCGAAATATATTGTAGTGTGAGAGTTTATTGAGCCTCTGTTGATTGACGAGGTTGTCCAGTTATTTAATTATAGAATTTGATGAGTATTAAAATGTTATGAAGAACATTTTAGAATAATTTTATTCTCAGTGAATGTATGATGAGTAAGGAGGAGAGAGAGTAGTAGTACTGAGCCAGCGGACGAGGGTTAGATTACAGCCTCTGGCTCAGGCGGAGGCACTAAAGCTGACAGCCTTAATATCCGCCATTAATACAAAGAAAAAGAGTTCACTGGGATTGGATAGTTGGGGTTGGGCTAGGCTGTAGTCTTCAGGTGGTGTGTGGACGAGCTTATGAGTGGGTTGTTTTTAGAAGAGGCGGGACTTATGTATTCACTCCGGATGGGAAAGAAGTCAGTATTGGGCCCCCTGATCGCTAACCAGGCGTGGGGTGGTTGGGGTGTTGTAAGTAAGAGTGAATTAGAGGACATTGATGGGGAAGACTTACCTTGGCAAGGGGGCTGTGTGCAGGCAGGGCGAGGCATGGAACAATTCTTGCCTCCCCATCCCTCGGGACAGTGGCAGTAGTAGTCGGCCTGGGTGTTGATGCAGGGAGCGCCGTTGTCACAGGGGTTGGGGTTGCACAGATCGATGTCAATCTGCGGAAGGTGGAGTCAGTAGCTGGCCTCACCTACTCACGGAGGACACCCCTCAACACGCCAAATAATGCATAACATTGAACATTTCATTTTACACACATCCTTGGATATTATCACATGACCATCATACAGTCTTGGAAGGTGAGGTGAAGGGGTGAAGAGTAGGTGAGGGGTGAGGGATGAAGAGCAAGTGAGGGGTGAGGGGTGAAGAGCAGAGAGGGAGTGGAGCCAGTAGCTGGAGAGAGAGAGAGAGGGCCAGGGAGGCTGCCAACATCACCTCACCTCACACTGTAGTCCAGAGTAGCCGACAGGACAGATACAGCGGTAGTCGGCCACAAGGTCCACACACTCGCCACCGTTGCCACAGGGACCGCTCCCACACTCGTCTATGTTCGTCTCGCAGTTACGACCTGACGGAACACAGACACATGGCCTTATTAACACTATGTTCACTTGTCAGTCAAGTGTTTATTATGGAGGTGTAGGAGGCTTGAGGGGAACAGACATACGACATCAAGGGATGATTAGTTGATTACCTGTTGGTAACGGGAGCAAGGCACTGACGTAGACCTGTCCACCTGGCTGGATGGCACTCACCTGTAAACCCGAGGGAGCAGGCACAGTGGTAGTCATCCACCAGGTCGATGCAGGTAGCCCCATTGAGGCACTGTCCCTGGCAGTCGTTAAGGTTGATATCGCAGTTCTTGCCCTCCCACCCATTCCGGCACTGGCACTTGTAATCACCCTCCAAGTTGACACAAGATACGGCGTTGATGCAAGGTCGGCCCTGGCACTCGTCTGAGTCTGTCAGTGTAGGGTAACAGGTCACCTGATTAGTGCACACGTCAGCATAAACGCTCCAGGAAAATAGGATAAATTAATAATAAATAGAGATTTAATAATATTTTTTTTATTTTTTAATATACTCGTTGAAAATGTATGGTAATTTAATATGAGTAGAGTGTTGGTTTACCTCCACACACCTGTAGGTTTATACACCTGTAGGTTTACAAGGTACAGGTGTGTGGAGGTGAAGGTTGGAGAGGTACTCACCGAACTGACAGCTGTTCCCCTCCCAGCCCACGGTACAGTTGCACGTGAAGCCGTTGACCTGGTCGACGCAGCCACCTCCGTGTTCACAGGGGCAAGACTCGCACTCATCCACGTCTGAGCAAAAGTGGATGAGAACAGAGGTCACGTAAGGGTCAGAGGTCAAGCATAGGTCAGGTCCATTACTTAAGGTCATACGTTGTTTGAGAAACCTGGCCCCATTTGATACGGTTCTCAGGGAAGGCTTAGGCTGGTATGCCAGGTAGAGGAATTATCTCAAAACCAGGTCAAGTGTCAAACATCCGTGACCTAATATGACTCACACATGCACGCCCACCCGTTACGCTAAATGATGTATTAAAATTAGTGAATTTGAATGACGTAGGTCACACTACACACCATCTTACCCCTTTCCACCCATCCCCCCTCTCTCTTGCGCTGTAATAAAAGTATTTTATCATTCAATATGACCCCCTCCCCTACACCCACCCCACACCTCCCTCGCCCCCTACACCTTCCCCACACGCTCCCTCGCCCCTCTACACCCACCCCACACGCTCCCTTGCCCCTCTACACCTTCCCCACACGCTCCCTCGCCCCTCTACACCCACCCCACACGCTCCCTTGCCCCTCTACACCTTCCCCACACGCTCCCTCGCCCCTCTACACCCCACACCTCCCTCGCCCCTCTACACCTTCCCCACACGCTCCCTCGCCCCTCTACACCCACCCCACACGCTCCCTTGCCCCTCTACACCTTCCCCACACGCTCCCTCGCCCCTCTACACCCACCCCACACGCTCCCTCGCCCCTCTACACCCACCCCACACCTCCCTCGCCCCTACACCTTCCCCACACGCTCCCTTGCCCCTCTACACGCCACACGCTCCCTCGCCCCTCTACACCCACCCCACACGCTCCCTTGCCCCTCTACACCCCACACCTCCCTCGCCCCTCTACACCCCACACCTCCCTCGCCCCTCTACACCCCACACCTCCCTCGCCCCTCTACACCCCACACCTCCCTCGCCCCTCTACACCCACCCCACACGCTCCCTTGCCCCTCTACACCCCACACCTCCCTCGCCCCTCTACACCCCACACCTCCCTCGCCCCGCTACACCCACCCCAACCCTACACTCTCCCTCCCACCATTACCCCCACGCCAGATAGACAGAAATAACAAAACACACACGGGCGATGGAAACGACCAACATATAAAAGGTTCCAGTAAACATTAAACAGAAAAAGTCTCTTAAGTCGAGGCTTTTTTAATGGAAATTTGTCACGGGTTGGTGGAGCGAAGGTCACCGTCTGATCCTTTATGCACGGACAAACATGCACACGCACGCTACCTACAAATGTACAAAGAATGATATTGAATAAAAGACAATATAACGACAAAAAAGACTGACGGTCGTCACCTCTTGTTGGACTTAAGGCCTATATCAGCCTCTGGAGGGTTGTTATTATGTTCACAGTCACCGTGATACCCTCTACATCCTTAAGGCGCCTGACAGCTGCGTGGACAGCGCTTCGGATTCATAGTCCTGAGGTTCCGGGTTCGATCTCCGGTGGAGGCGGGAGACAAATGGGCAAAATGTTTCTTTCACCCTGATGCTTCTGTTACCTAGCAGTAAATAGGTACCTGGGAATTAGACAGCTGCAACGGGCATCTTCCAGGGGGTGTGTAACAAAAAGGAGGCCTGGTTGAGGACCGGGCCTCGGGGACGCTAAGCCCCGATATCATCTCAAGATAACTTCTAAGCGTTTAACAATGCACAAACAACAGGGCTCCATCAAGGAACACACAGCGAGACGACCACCAGGGATATTTTGACAAGCAACACCGAAATAATTCACAGATACAATGACAATAGAAGATTAGACATCAGTGAGGCGCCGCATATCAAGAAATTTAGACCGGTAATAAGCAACCAGTTAATACTTAATTACACTCTACCCACTTCAAGACCCCGGGGGTGAAATTATGACAAGACCGAGATAATTATCTGCCTCTTAATGTGCGTTTAATCTGTATCTGTCTGTTACTGTACGTTCATCCCTGTACCTCCCGCTGTATCTGAATTACATTAGTGTATCCACATGTAAACATCTCTCAACCTGTCATTCTAAAATGACAGTAGATAAAGATATTATGAACAATATGGACTGCTGTATCCATACTACATATATACTAAATTAAGTCTAAATTGGATATGTTAAGCCTATCTTCTTGAGATGGTTATCTTGAGATGATTTCGGGGCTTTAGTGTCCCCGCGGCCCGGTCCTCGACCAGGCCTCCACCCCCAGGAAGCAGCCCGTGACAGCTGACTAAAACCCAGGTACCTAGGACAAGGTAGGTTTATGGTTGCCCTAGTGTACTATCTAGGTCGACCTTTAGTACTTCATAGCACAAAAGGTGAACATTTTGGGCTACAACAGTCAGTTGCTTTTGTAAACTCCATCCATGAGGTATGAATTTGTATCTCTATATCCATGTGCTCGCGCCTTATGTGCATCAATATGTATCCTTGCCACACTTCATACATGTATACCGGCGCCTGTATGTATACGTTTCAGTATCAATACATAAAATGGCAAGAATTTTACATT